TAATGGAATGATAGACGCCATGAAAATTTCAAATTATATATATTACGTATGTAAAACACGAGGAAACTATGATTCTAAGGGTGTTTACTTTGGAATATTATCTTGGTCGCCTTTACCCTACTTTTTATTATACAAAATTTGGTTAAAAAATTCATATATAACACAACATGTTTACATAACATATTTATAAAAAAGATTAGTTTTGGTCTCCCTCAGTTATAAGTCTCGTGTTCCGCCCCTGAATATTATACATTAAATAAATTAATATATATCTAAAATTATACATAGACAATATTGCCCTTTTCAGTTATTGAAAAATAAAAAAAGAAGCTATTTCCTGATTGGTCAATTTTGGATTATGTAGATTGTACAAATGCAAATGGTTGCATTTAAAATATACCCTATATATATACACACATGTATATAATAGTCTTTTTCATCTTGTAACTAATTTGCAGTTAGTGGTTAGAAGTAGGGATGGCAACGGGGCGGGGATGGGGCGGGGTTTGCAATCCCCGGCCCCGGCCCCGGTTTCGGTTTGTGTACAGAGTCCCCGGCCCCGGCCCCGTCCCCGGTCAACTTTCGGTCAACCCCGGTCAACCCCCGGTCAACACTCGATGGCAGAGACGGTGACGGTGTCGGTGTCGACTGTCAAGTGCGGCCTGTGGTGTCGCCTGTCAAGTGCGGCCTGCGGTGTCGCCTGTTAGTTGGGTTCTAATATAAATAGGATTATGCATCAGCAATTGATTTACTTAATCAACACATAAGTCATTGGATTCCTCTATTGATGCAGCAACGTATCTAAAATTTTGTGACAGACTACACTACAACTTCGCAATAGTTTGATCACTTATTTTGTTCACTATAAGAGCTTCTCCAATGCATAATTTTTGTAGAGATTTTTACTTGTAAAATTAGCTATTGGAAAAGGATATCATCCGAGTGAAACGTTTTTGAAAAAAAGGTTGGAGCTGCACAACTGATTGAGGATGACTTTTCACAACCAATTTTCATTTCACCTCCTTAAATTTTCATTTTATACCCTATTTCAGTGGAATTTTCGTTTTAAGCCTTAATACATTTTTGAATAATTAATCTAATTTATTAAATAAGTTTGTTTTCATAACAAAGTGTTAAAACAGATGAAGAATACAAGATCTTTTTAACCTATTTTTTTCAGCAAGTCTTTTTTTTATTGCTATCTATAACTTGGGTGTATCTTTGATTGTTTTGATAAGTTCTATATCTTATTTTTCCACAAACAATCTGTAAAAATTTGTATTGATCTTTTTTATCAATAGAAGTTTTTTAAAAGTGAAAGTTGTTGTGTTTGTATTCATCCCCCCTCCTTCTACAAACTGTTACCTATAAACTCTTGTACATTCAGCTGGGACCAACAAGTCAGTATAGAATGAAGGGGGACGACCCTAATGTTGTGTTGGCAAAACCAACTTCTTGGGTTTCGGGCGGATAGAAGCGGATGTGGGGACTCAGGTCAGGGCATATAAATTGGTCAAAAACGAATTATCTCGCTGATGTGAGGGATCAGCGAGGGATTTTGTTTTTGGCCAATTCCCTCGCTGATCTCTCACAGATCAGTTATATGTCGTTGATCAGCGAGGGAATAGCAAGGGATTATCTTATTTTTGTTTTTTTCTCATTTTTTATGTGTTATATTTTACACATGTTTATGTGCAGGTGTCATATGTATACATATATATATATATGTGTTATATGTATATATATATGTTTTGGTTGCTAACCGCAATGTGTATATATGAACATATATTCATGTGTTATATGTATGTACACTCGTTGGCCCGTGTTATGTATACACGATGTTGTATGCGTTATATGTATATATACTCATCGACTTGTGTTATATACATATGTATACACGATGTGTATAGATGTGTGCTGGTTGCTAACCACGAGTAGATCGATGTATATATTGTGTAAGATACATGTATCAGATGATGTATATATATTTAAACATATGTGTATATGTGAATGTATAGATAGTATGTGCTTGTTATTTGGGTTTTATTCGTTTTTATTGGGCCTTAATCCATTTTATTGGACTTTATTCGGTTTTATTAGGCCTTAATCCATTTATTGGGCTTTATTCAGTTTTATTGGGCCTTAATGAGCTTTATTCGATTTTTGGGTTTTAATCCATTTTATTGGACTTTATTTGGTTTTATTATGCTTTGTGCGGCTTTTTTGGGCCTTAATGAGCTTTATTCTGTTTTATTAGGTCTTAATCCATTTTGTTGGACTTTATTCGGTTTTATTGGGTCTTAATGACCTTTATTCCATTTTATTGAGCCTTAATCTATTTTATTGGCCTTTATTCGATTTTATTAGGCTTTGTTAAGTTTTATTGGGCCTTAATGAGATTTATTCGATTTTTTTGGGTCTTATCCATTTTGTTAGACTCTATCCGGTTTGATTGGGCTTAATGGGCTTTATTTGATTTTATTGGGCCTTAATGGGCCTTATTCAATTTTATTGGGTCTTTTAATCCATTTTATTGGACTTTATTCAGTTTTATTAGGCCTTAATGAGCTTTATTCGATTTTATTGGGTCTTAATCCATTTTATTGGACTTTATTCGGTTTTATTGAGCTTTGTTAAGTTTATTGGGACTTAATGGACGGAGGAAGGGCCACATTTTTGGTTCTGGGACCTCCTAGGATCCCTCTTATGCTATGACGGCTAGATGTAGCAGTAGCACGGGGAGATCATACCAGTCAACAGCGGAGGTATATTAGTTATATTATTATATACTTTCTCATTACTTTCATTTCGAACAAATTACTGATTTTGTCGAATATTGAATATTTACAGGTACCCGAGTTGAGAGAGAAGTTGGCAAGGGTATAGGAGGAACTGGAGACTGAATGGAAGAGTACGACAGATTTGGAGGCCACACAAGTTGTTGCGTTAGCCGAACAAGTCAAACAAGCTGCTGCGTTAGCTGAACAGGCCACCTTATCGGAGCAACTTTCTACGTTTATGCGACACTCATGATATGTTCCCCCCCCCCACCTCCCGGTAGTTAGATTTTATGAATTTAAACATTAAATTGTATGAATTGGATAATTTAAATTGCATGATTTGGTTAGTTTTAATTTGTTCACAGTTTTGGTTTGTTATTTTATGGCTAAGTTTTGTATAAACAAATACATAAATTATGTAATTATAAGTTATTTATTTTTAGATTAATAAACATTAGCGACAGATTAGCGAAGGAAAATCCGTCGCTAAAAGTCCCTCCTGACCCTCGTTGAAAGTTTCCCTCGCTGATCCGACACTAAAAGTCTCCCTCGCTGATCCGTCACTGAAAGTCTCCCTCGCTGATCCGTCACTAAAACGTTCCCTCGCTGATGCATCGTTGAGTTCCAATGTTGATCCTTTGCTGATAGCATTACCTACGACCTTTTGACCGACGGACTATCAGCGACGGAAGACCCCTTAGCGACGAATCAGCAAGAGAATTTTCTCTCGCTGATACTCTTCATTTTTTGTAGTGCTGTTTGCAAAGTTTATATCTAAGTCCGAAAAAGAAGGTTTTATAAGTTATTCCCAAACTAAAAGTTATGATAAAGTTGGCTTTTATTTTAACTAAAAATTATGACAAAGTTGATTTTATTTTGACAAAGAAAAATTATAAAAAGAGGTATATTAAACGAAGTTAACTTAAATAGCCATTTCACCTATTTAAATTGATTTCCCAGCTAATCCTTTCTCAGATTTACCTAAATGTCATTACGTCCGCAATCCGCAATATTTATCCAAATGTCACTATGTCGCAATATCGAAGTCTAGCAATCAGCAATATTTACCCAAATGTCACTACGCTACCAATATCAACGTCCGCAATATTGCGGACCTGACTAAAAGACAAAAAAAATTCAAATTCCACCAGTTTAGCAAGCGGCACCATCACAATTATGGAACTGGTAGTCGTAATTGTGAACTTGGTCGTTGCAATTGCATATCTGGATTGAATTTTTCCTGTCTTTTAGTCAAGTCCATAATATGTTAGACATGAATACTACGAAAGTAGTGAAATTTAGGTAAACCAAAAAGAGATATAACTAGGAGAATAAGCTCGATTTTCTAAAAAATTGAACCTCAGTTTCCAAGTCAAAATGTTTCGATTTTTAAAAAGAAAAATATAAAAAATAAATTCGTCCACTAACATCGAGCCATGTGTCGTCCTTTGACCAAGAAAATGTCTTAAAATCATTGACCACTTCATCCTTTGACCCTCAAAATATTCATTCGTGTTTTCATATTTACATCAATATTCTCTGTCTTCGTTGTTACTCTTCATTTTCCTCTAAAAAGTGGATTGATCTTTGAGTCAGTATGGGTCATCCAGGGGGATCGCCAGTAGGGACTTTATCCGCTTGGCCCCTGTGGGCTTTTGTTAATAGAACGAAACATCTCCCGTCTATTAAGGTTTTAAGTATAAATTTTTTTGGTTCTGCCACCATTGATTAAGGTTTTAAGTATAAATTCTTTTGGGTCCCTCCACCATTGTTGATTCAGTCTATTTGTGTTCCGTCGCTGGGTCATACTCACTGCTTTAAAAAACGTTAAACGAAAAGAAAAAAAGTTAGTTCAACCTGTAAAATTTTGGGTTTGCTTTATGTAAAAATTATCGGTTCGAGTTATTTCAAAAATACCATATAGTTTACGTGATCACTAGAGCGGTTTCTTAAACTTGGTGAACCGGTTCATAAATTTTTACACTATTAAAAAGAAGCCATACATATCAATATGAACCGGTTCTTCATTAAACTGGTGGGATCCAACACAATTAAATAAATTTAAAAGAAAACAATTAGATGAACGGGTCCATGATCGAGGAAGAAGGTTTATAAAATATGTAGAAAGAAAATTTTGATGTATGATAAAAGAGAGAATAAATAATATGTATATGTATATGTATATGTATCCTTATTTACATGCTTTTGAAGGTTCTACCAACATATAGATCTAAATCATGCAGTAGATTATGTGTTATTCACTGTGAATATATTCATCAGCCATCAAATTCATTGCTGTCTCAACTAATGAATGAATTGCTATCTTATATCTACTCAATCCAATTGCACCACAGAAGATATTAAAGCTTTCTAATTCAGATGTAGTCTCTGTAACACCTTCCAATTCTTCCATCATTCCCAGATTCTTGAATGTCTGAATGTTTCTTCTTTTATCTTTCATCATCCAGATCGCTAATTCTATCACGTATCTCCTTATTCTTGGAGTCCTAGTTTGTGGGTGTGGATGCTTCTTCAAGGTTTCCACTAGCACCATGGCTAATTCACCATCCAGAATCCCACTTCTTTCAAACATGGCCTTTGTTTCTTCAGATGTCATAAATTTGAACATATGTGCTGCTAGTCCCACCATCACTTCTTGTAACTTAAAGTCATTTGTCATGATTTCCTTGAGTACCTGCAACCATCCATGGAGTAGGGGTAATTGTTATGTGAAGAGAGTTAATTAAACCCAGAATCATATATATATATATATATCCCCAACAGTATGTTACATACAAAACTTATTGATTCAGAGATAACTTACAGTTGGTGCAGCTGTGATTATGGCTCTTAGCTGTTTAAAGGAACCTGTTTCACTGTAAATGCACAAATTTCTTAGAATTCTTGCAGCATTTACGCGAAGCAACGGATTGTCCAAAGCGTCGTTAAGCTTCTGAATAACGTTCAGTTTCAAGATCCGATGACAGTTTTGTGTGCTTTCGAATGCCAGCATTCCAAGTGCTTCTCCGGCTGCAATTCTTACATGATTATGGTTTTCAAGCATTTCTTCTCTAAAGAAAATGTTGAATAATTCCTTTAAAACTCCTCCGGTGCCTCCGATCCGTTCTGTCGCATCATTCTCTAGTGCCAAACTCGTTAAGATATCGATGCCAAGTTTCTGTAGGCTTGGGTGTTTCTCGCCATACCTTAATATATCTCGGATGTAGCTTATTGTGAACACCACCTCAGATATCTCGGTTCGAAGCTGTTCACCAGTAACGCCGGTTGAACTCACTAACATCTTCACCACTTGTAACGATCTTTTCACAGTCGAAATCTGAGATTCTGTGACCCTTTCGTTTGTTAATAATCGTTCGTCTGCGTGTGTGAAATCGATGATTTTTGTTAGAAGACCTCTTGTGTTTCCAATCTTTCCACAGTTATCATGATCACGAGCAAGTTTCTTTAGAATCAAAAGACCTAATTGATTGAATGCCCAAAACCCATAATTTTCTTGATCTACGATGATTTGCTTTTTACATACTTCACCGCATATAATAGCACCAGAATTTCTGTTAACATGCAACAATGAAGATATCGATTCCATTGCACCTGGAATTCCGGCAACCCGAAGAGCATTTTGCTTCTTCCCAACAAGTTTCGCCAAGATCTTTGCTGCTGAATTCCGAATCTCCTCTTCTTGTGGGTCTTTCCAGTTAAGCATTTCGACCAACCGTTCTATCACTGATATCGTGATTCCGATCTTCTGAAGGGTATCTTCAGAAAACCGTGGATTTGTTGTGAATCGCTCAAAGATTCGAACCCCAATGAGTTGCTCATCCGATGAATCCGAGTTCAAGAGTTCCATAGCGAAAGAAACCATATCCATTTTCAATCCATCAAAGATGCTTCTATTAACACATTTAGAATAGGCATCGTAGAAAAACCTCCGAACTGAAACCATTCCCGTGCATCCAAGTTCCAACTCATCGTTCGCCTTCTCTAACATCTTCTTGTAGATCACATTCCACTCCCAATACGTTTTCTCCAAAAGAAACAACAAAGCCTCAGCCAACGCCAATCCATAGAAGATGGTTAGAGCCGATTTTCGATTCAATTTTTCGCTATCTCCTTTATGAACGTCTCCAAAGTTGTGATTTACGAGTCTCGTGACCGAAAGAAACACGCAAACCGTCGCAGATGCTAGTTGTAGCCAATAAAGAAGCTTACTGATATTGCTAGAAACGAAAACCGATTTGCCATATGGAAGAATAGGAACATCAGAAGTCGTCCAAGTCCGAGATGGTGCTTTTTTCCTCTCCCAGTAGGTTGTACAGTTTATCATCCGTGGACTCTCGTTAATCTTCCCACTACTTCCAACGGACGTCCCAGAAAGTGGCTGAGCCACTGTTTTAACCGCCTTGAGAACCACGTGTGAGCTAGACCTTATCGCTCGAAAACTACTGACTCCAGGGTCGGCTAGTGACCAGGTGGCCTGGTGCTGCCATTCAAGTTCATGACTCCGGCTAAAGATCCTAGTGCTTTCAATCAATAAAATAACGGTCACTAACCAGAAATCAATTTTGTCGATTGTTATGGCGAAGCCACCTAACAGAACCACGGTGGCCCAGATGAAGCCTAGGGTTCCTAGCCCGGTGGCTGCTTTCTCCAGAATAGCAAGGCGGAGGGCGAAGAGAGTGAGTTTCTTCTCGGGTGCCCTGGCGCCGGCCACCACTTGTTGACCGGAAAATGGTGTCGTGTTGCTGCTGTGGGCTGTATCCATGCTGCTTTGTGGTTCGAAAATGGTGGTGTTCTTCCTGTGGGTTCGAGTGAAATGGAGCGAAAGCTCATCCATGGGGAGATGAACACTTCCTTGGCTTTCCATGGATGTTGTTTGATTCATGTTGTTACATGTATATAAATATGCAAGTGGTGTATTATATGTATAAACGATGGTTTACTTATGGAGCAAGTTTAATCATGGTTTCATAATCAAGAAACAAGATTGCGACTTATTTGGTTTTGTTCCGGGTATCTTCCTCTTTTTATTTAATTACTTTTCATTAACACAAATATATTTTTTTATAATTTTTTTTTTTTACCTGAACCAACCCTATTATTAATATCTTGAATATATTTTTTAAAGATAAAAAAATATTAATAAAAGACACAAAAGCAAAAGAAATATGGTTTATAGTATCTTTGTTGAATAAAAATAGATGACATATATTTTATTTTTATGTAATCAATCATTACAAAACACAATACGTATCCAATTAGTAAATGGAGATAGTGTTTGGAGTATTTAATTGTGGAGTGAGTTGGCAAATGGATGAAGTAAATACGTGGGAAATTAGCTGGTACTTTGTGTGGTGTGTCAAGCAAATTAAAGTGTTAAGTTGAAGGGTCCCACGGATCCCCCATTGACTGCACCGATTAATGGTTTTAAAATGTCTAATGTGGATATTTCTTGGCCTCTTTGAGATGTGAAAAGCCAAAATTCATGGAATTGGTTTTGGTTTTGAAATCGGAATCGGTGGTTTTTGGAATGATCGGAATCGGTTATATCGGTTTTTTATATTCAGAAACCGGTTTGGAACCATTGGGAATTGAATTCGGTAATTTTATTTTAAAATTTCATCATTTCATATTCATACTATATAAGAGTAATTATTAGTTTATTATAGAATATCAACGCAAAAAAATAAATACCACAAAATAATGAAAATTGATTCGATAAAAATTAAAAGCTAACAATTACATAAATAAAAAATAAATTTATAATTTCAATTTTAGTTTATTAAGTATAATAAACATATATAATAGTTACTATTAAAAAATAGTAGGTATCTGTCGGTTCCGATTCTGGGTATCCAGCAGGACCAGGGAACCGGTCATGATGGCTACCTTATGGTTAACAGTTCCAAAAAAATGAGAACTGAAACCGAAACTAGTCCGATCAGTTCCGTATTTTAGGAACCTGAATCGGAACCAATCATATCGGTTTCTGTTTCGAAACCGACAGTTCTAGAACGGTTCTGGTTTGCAAATAATTACGTCATGGTCTATATTTTAAGATAGATACATTCGATGTCCATATTATTTGCATTTGTTGAAATTTTTATTAACTAAACAAGACCAAAATAATAAAAACAATTGTAATTGTTGGTAAACATTGATAAGTTAATAAATAAAATATTATCAATGGTTAAATATTTTTTTACAAAAATACCGTAATAGTGGTATCTTCAATAATAAAAATGGACAGCATAGCACCGCAATCATTTATGAAACAAAATGTTCCGATACTTTGTTAATGTTGAACTAATATTACACCCGACTCTAATTAGTCCTCTTAGATGAGATTTCATCCATTTCTCCTGCGTCAACTTCAAATAAGAAAAAAAAAATCACATTAATTACATAATGACTTTTGAATAACAATTCAGGAAAATTTAATAGAAAAACATATAGAATTATAATGTTTACTTACCACAATCGGTGAAACTGGATCCACCCTTCCCTTTAAAGTTGATAATCCCTCTATGATGGAATAACAAGTAATCTAAATAATCAAGAACAACAATTAAGCTCAAATCATATGTATCGATTGCTTCTTTCTTTAAAATAAGTTTCTCTCTTTAGAAACTCTCTACAAAAATATGGACGTGTAAATCTATACAATGAGCTTTTTTTTTACTATAAACATTACAAAGTATTTTTATGAATTGACTAAAACAAAGTCAAACTACAATCGCAAATATTTACTTTACATAATTTGTTGACTACTTTGACTTTAACTTGGAAGCTTCCGTCTTCACACTTGGTGATCTTGGATACAACATATTTTGAACCTAACAATCTTCTCATTTGGTTTCGAGATCACAAATCAGTAGTTATCAAAACTTTTTAAAACGTGACTTCAACTAAACTTTGAATTTAACAATCTCCCCCAAATCATAAGTCTTTAACAAACTCTCCTTTATGAAGACGATCAAACTTTATTAACCTTTGAATAAGATGAATATGAAAATAACAATCTCCACTTTTGAACAAATCATCTTCAAATCAAAATCTTCAAATTAAGATTTTTGGTTTGTGTCATCATGGTTTGGGTTTTGTTACAGATTAGGTTTCTTATCTTAACTCCACCTATTGTTACTCTATCAAGTTAGGGATAATATTGTATTTTTTACTTTATTCTTTAAAAACATAAAAGTAGCATTATATATATACATATACATACATATATATATATATATATATATATATATATATATATATATATATATATAG